CGTGGCCGTGAGAATGTCGCAGGAGATGACTTTCAGCAACCCTAAAAATCACTAAAGAAAGGGCTGTAATCCAGACACAAAGACGGAGGTATATTATTTATTAATAGTATCATTACTTTCTCTTTTAAAGACCCATACTTCGGGATATGAGTCCGGACCCGATGCGGGCGACTGGCTCCATCAACACAGATCGGATAGGACTCACGATACCGCGGTACAAACACCTAACTGCACGGTCGGTGTCCGCGGACGCAATTTGGACGATCACCTCCCAACAGCTATCCCTGAGGAACCCGACTCTTCCTCGGACGGGTTTTTCAGCCGTAACCAAAGGCCCACTCGAGGTTCAGAAATACTGGTACGGTCTGAACAGAACCTGGAAAAATTGCGAAGCTTCCTCCTATGCATCCTCACCGGGACCAATTCGCCAAAGGCCACTGAAAACGGCACAGGTTCGCAAGATTTTAAATCACTAATTATTGCTATTTATCAGTATATAAGTAGACAAGTTAATTGTATATAGAATTATATTGAAACAGTAACCACCAGAGCAAATACTCGTGAAAACTTTCGGTCGGTTACCCCGAATGCCACTAGTGGGACAAACCTCTGCAACGTTGTGTCAACTTCTGGGCGCGTTTTTTTTCAATTTTGACGGACGAAAAGTAGTGGCTAGGGAGAAAAAATGGCGTTCTTAAATGCGTAGAATCTGCAGTAGGGCTTTACCAGGCCTCAATTTACTGCCAGTTTAATTTTATTTATCTGAAGGGGGAGAGACAAGGGCTGAAAAGAGCAGCGCTTGCCCATGAAACCTCCTGAGGCTTAGACTGCGTGTGAGTGTGTAACACATTTGTTTGCAAAGTCGGACACATAGGAATCGAACGGCCAATATGTGGGTTCCATGGGACACTAGAGGTTGAGATTAGTAGTCTGCATCGAAAAAGTTAATTTTATGTGACCCAGCATAGTAAGTAGCATTGAATGAATGTTTTTGTCCAAAATGATTCTCTTCCAATTTTGTAGTATAGGATGCAGATGGCGATTTTTACGCAGTGGATCGCATTAGTAACCTTCCTCCATAAGCAACCATAGATTTCGAAACAGTCGAAATGGCGGAGTTTTTGCTGTCTTATAAAAATTGCATGGCTAAGGAAACCAAACATTGGGCCTCGAAGAGCTGACTAAAGCGGCATGCGAATGAGAGCAGCCGACCGTATGAGAAGGTATCTTATTACTTTGAAGGACAAATAGACAGTTGGTACATATCGAATGACAGGCTGTTGAAATTGTTCGATGTTAGTGGGATTTAAGCCTCTGTGGGTATTGGGTGAGTGCAGAGCTCCAGCTTCAGCCATGCAACGGAAATTAATGTTTAGGAAAATGGCCTAATTAAACAGAGACTTATGACTCGAATTACGGCGGAATTCTTGCCTAGCTAAACGTAATGAACTCTGTACATTAGCTGTGACGAATATATTAATTCTCAGTATTTCTATACACTTCTCGCGTTCTTTCACGCGGTATGGCATGCTTGATCAGTTGTGGACACATGTCACTGTAGAATCCTGACTCTGTAAAACCAGAACTGAGTGAATAATAGGGCTTTGCAAAATAGCAGCGCTTTGCAAGTGCCTACAAATGTATGTTGACATGTTAGCACACAATAGAAGTAATCTGTTACAGACTCATCCAACCGGGATGGAGTGGATTATTTTCGCCAGGTAGATAAAAAGAGTGAGAGAGGGGCTGGCTTCGTTGAAGCGGCAAGAACACATATAAGATTCTAACAAATATGTTTTTGTGTTATGCAGAGCAGTGGAACGGCGTGCCAGAAAGTCAGTGAAACAATGGGCGAAAAACGGAGTTTTATAAACATATGCATAGTATTTTAAATTTGCGAATACACCCATTGAAAATTTTAAAGATAAATTGGCGAAAACACGTTTTTTCGATAAATTCTCGTCAGGCCTTTACATTTATATGGTACTTAAGTAAATAAAATATGCGGGTTGGTAAAAAAAATTAGTGCGGTTATCAGGGTAGGTGAAGGGGGGGAGTGTCGGGGTCAAGAAGCGGCCGCTGTCATGCTACGCCGACCAGTCCTGCGCGCCCAAAAGAACTTTGTCGCGGCACTGCAGTTACCATGGCCAAAAACCGCTAACCGAACACCCAGCAGCTTATCGCTCCGCTAGACTACCCGTCTCCCTGATGCACTAATTCTTCTGCCAACCCGTATAGTTTACTTACTTAATTACCATATCAATGTTAAGGCCTGACGAAAATTTATCGAAAAAAAACGTATGTTCGCGAATTTATCTTCTGAAATACCTACAATAAGTAATTGTCGAAACGTGAACTGAATGGCTTAAAAGTACTTTCTAAGGCCAGGCCTCTGTGTGAGAGTGCTCCTTCTTTCGGTCAAGTGCGGTACCATTCATTCTCAGATAATAATGCTTATGAGAAAATAAGGCTAACTTCTCCGAATTGAGGTTTTCTGTAACATTTCTTTTCCCTTGTGCCTTCCGTTTTATAGATGAGGCATCACCTGAGATCCCAGCGGAAAAGAACGCCAGCTCGTGCAATCGCGAAACACAAGCCTCTGACTGTGCCCTGTCCGCAGCGTTGGAAAAGAGTTTCGAATGCATCTCCGAATCCACGGAACAGAATCTCAGTATGTTGAGCAGTCTGAGTGAGGATCGCGTTAAAGGTAGGCGCAGTCGTATTCCCGTATTCCGCTAATATCCTCATTCTGCTAACGTAAAATCCTCTGATCAATGTAGTTTCCAGTCTCGGGAGGGAACATTTTAATGAGCGTGAAATTAATGTTTACCGACTTTTTACGCCGGAGAATTTAAACAAATGCTTAGGCCTTCCGTGTAGCTTTTCAAGACTGACTTTGCTCTTTTTCAATTTAGTCTGGTAATTTATATGTTGCACCGTTAGTATTCTGCAGATGGGTAAATTAATTACCGTTTATCCTTCGGCCTAGCAAGGCTAGGAAGCAGCAGCGAAAAGTATTAGCAGTTCACAGTGGCCAGTAGTTAGCAATCAGTATAAAGGCTATTCAAACCTATTTCGCTCAGTGTAAGTCCAACGAAGCCCCGCTGACTACCAGCTAAACAATGACCTGCTAAAAAATTCAAGGCATAGTTCAACTCAAGCCTAACAATTGTCCAACGCGACCTATTGTCCGCAGTGGCTTTTCTTAATTTTAACCCTAGACAGCGACTACACGAAGGTACACAGTTTTGATAAGGAGTGCAAATAAGACAAATGTTGGGCAGAGTATACCGTCCCAACAAAACACTTGCATATTTCACCAACTGAAGGCCCGTTTCGTCATTTCTTACCCTCAGATGGTTCCCCATGTCGGCCACTTGATTCCGACTGCGTCGAACTAACTACCCGGTGGAGGCTGTTGCTGGCGTGGACGCGGCGGCATTTTGAAGACCTGAGGGAGCTGAACAGTTTCCAGTCCCGTCTCAGCGAGCTGGCCGCTCGCAGTCGAGTCCTGTCTGATGTTGCCGATCGAGCCTTTGACGGTTCCAACAGCCTACCCTCGGCGGCTGAAATGACTGTTAGTTCATTCGTTGTTGATTCTTACCGTTTGCTGTCTCTGACTATCCTGCCGTTTTGGCCAGCGAGTAGAATGCAGTCAGTATAAACTGTTGTCGTGCTGCTAGACGATGCTACTTTTACTATTGCTAATGATATTTACCTACAATTCTCCGGCAGCTACATGTACCGTTGAGAAGCCAGATTACCTGCTAGGGCAGCTAGGGTATCGATGACCGGTAAAGGAATCTACTTATGGTCCCTGCGTTTAACTTGCGATAGCCAATCAAGCATCTCAGCTATCAACCTTTAGTCAAAGCTTGTTAGAACACATTTGGAGTTTCTAAAGTATCTAGTTTTGCTCAGAATTTACAGAGCATCATTGGTCTATAAGGAACCAAACTTCTCCACAGTCAACTAGTCTTTAAAGCTTAGTAATTCCTATAAAACTATTAGATCTCACACCGTAGTTCGTCGCAGATTTGCGTGCTGCAGAACATAAAGGTTTGCGGTTAAAAGTATATTAAATCACGAGCGTTATCAGCACTAATAGCATAACACCACCACCAAAGCACTAGCCAAAGTTCCGTACTGTACATATTGCCAGCTCAGGTTGGCATTACACAGTTGCCAAACTCGACTCTTGCGAACCCACCCACTGGAACCAGTGAGCCAGTTCCAGGCCCCGTCACATCCACCTAACCTATCACTTTTGCCTTAGGACATTCTGTCATCGTGCAGGCCTATTCGGCTGTATGCCTCTTCCACGGGAATCCTTAATAAAACCCACCAGGATAACACATACCACTAGGCCACATATGATCCTCCTGCTTCTCCCTATCACCGGCACATTTCCGTACATTTCTACCTCTCACGAATTGAGGCAAAGGTTCCCGTTCCAGGTATGTGTATAGATTAAGAAGAAGGAGCCGTGTCGGTCACCGGAATCACAGTTTTATTAGTCTGAGCTTTCAAACTCTTGCGGGAGTCCATCGGCAGAGGTAAAATTGTTATCGAACGCAAACAACGTCTATAGGGGTAAGGGGCCAATTAACCACCACAGGGTTGGGAGGGGGGGAGAGACAGGACCAATTAACCACCAATGCCGTGAGTCTGGAGATACCTGCGCAAGGCATGCATTTTGATCGTTCTCGTTGTTGGCAGTGTGGCTGGCACACCGTAATAGACAGAAAGACATTATCTACAAAGACAAGGGAGACTGAAATAGCTGTTTCTGGCTTGTTAGGCGTCATCAGCCAGCCCCAACCAACGGAAAAAATAGCAGATTTGTAATCGATCAATGAACACCCATCTATCATGGTTAATATGTCCAATCACAATCAACAAGACCACAAGCCCGTAGCTCAATGTTTATAGAGCTGGACATAGGTGGTGTACAACCTGGAGGCGACCAGGGCTGGCTGATGAGGATTAATGAGCTAGAAATGACCAGGCAAGTCACTCTTCTCTTTCCCGGCCATGTTCCCCTTTCTAAGCTTCTAGCCGCTGAGCGGCTTATGGTGGTACTCGAAAGTGAGTTCTACAAGACGAATTTGTTCCGCAACCGACTTATGAGCACTCGTTTAACACCATTGCATGTTGCAGAACAATAACGTCTCATATGAGTGGGAAGAATGTTCTTTGGTTTGCCCTGGTAAATGAAGTGATCAAGTAATATGGGACACGCGTACTTGGTTAGCTACCACCACACGATCGACAGTCACTAACAGTACAAGGTTCAGCAGAAAATAGAGAGGCCAACACGAGCGAATCCATCCCGACATCAAATCAGAGTTTTTCACACCAAAATAAAAAAATATTCATATATGTTTGTCCGGCTGAATGGTTCTTTTGTGATGTGACCTTTAGGACTTCATCGCATATATGAGATCCCATCCGATCATTGCCTTGCAGAGTATTTTATCCTCACGCAAGCAAGAACTGTTTGTTTTTTATGTATACTGGTACAGTGCGTGATAGCCAGGTTCTGCATGGCAGACATGGATGGAGTCGCTACGGCCAATCCTACCACCACATGCTTTAAATACTCGGAGAGTAGACTGATACATGGTTGGTGTTTAAAAGCCTGCTAGGTTTTTAAGTTGGCGTTGTCCAAAACGTGAGAAAATATCGTCCAGGTTTTTTGGCTTTTATGTTTCAAAGGTGCAAAAAATCCCATCAGGGAATTCGAAAGAGCAGTTGGCTACCATACCTAGGCTTTCGATGAATGCTCATCAAGCCATTACATTTATACGGGAAGGAAGTAAAAGTAAAATGTGGGCAGTTACTTTCATCATACAAATGCTAATTAATCCTTTATGTTTGAAAGGAAATAACCGAGGGTTTCTGTCGTGGATAGCTATATATGGATCCTTAAAAGCTAATTTTCGCAAAACATGTTTATCTGCTATTGATCCATTAGCTAAAACGGTTAAAGTCTGCCCGTTGTTTGGAACCTATCAGGAGATACTAGATGTCTACTAAGGAGTCGTGGGTTTGAGCTCGCCAGACAAAAATCAACTTCCTTTCTTCTACCTGGTTGTTCCTGCTTGATACAGCGCCGTTTCAACGCACGTGTTTACAGATATATGTCTGGGCTAGTAATTTAATTCTATCAACTTGCCAAAGAAGCGCAATAAGACGATGACGCCGCCTGCACATGTAAACCTGCTATACTCCGTTGCCTATTTGAATGTTGAAACAAATGATTTCTGACTGTATCGCAGTTTTAACTCCAACTGAGGAGCTCTTTCCGCTTCTTTTCCACCATGCCTTGTCTTACGAGTCGCCAGCTAGGTTCACATCCCTTTCTCTCTCGTTCAATCCTCTCTGCCCATTTTCTCCTAGCAACTCCGTTCTGAGTCGACCTCTCTGCTCGAGGCAGCAGAAGCGGTTCACAAAGGCCTGCTCTTTAAGCGTCTCACTGGCACTGCCGCGGTTGTTCCCACCACTGGCGGTCAACAGTTGATGGAGCTTCAAGATCTGGAGACCCAATTTGAGGCCGTATACGACAGTCTCCTTGACAGCGCGATCAAACATTCCTCGGCGGTTACCGATGCCGTAACAGGCGAAAGCACCAGGTAGGCTTAGAGACTTCCCGTATGCAGCCTTTTTAAGAACTTTGAAGACGCTACCAGTTAGCCTCAAATATACTGAAATTTAAAAAAAAAACAATTTCAGTGTAAGTATTCAAAGCTGATTACTCGTCAACTTAGAAGAATTACTATTTGAGCGTGCGTCTGCTTTTAATGAAATGTTTGCTCTTGGCCAGTTACTTTGCGTTGCAGAGAATGAAGGAACCACGAGCTGTAGACGATGTTTAGTAAATAGGAGGATATTTTTTTCTGGAGAGTCGATCTTGTGTTGATGGACAAACATGGCGAGAAGACGGCTGCAATGGGGCACAACTGCCATTCTGATGTGCGTATTTCTGTAGATGGATACTAACGACCGAGCCCTCTTGGCGTTACGATACAATGTTGCATGGCCCTGTTGTTAAGCTGACTTCGTAATGGCGCTGTGCTCACTGTGATAAATGACCTTCTGACTGCAAAAGTAGTGGTACATGCGCAAGATGTCAATTCTCCCTGAAAGCAATTTCTTAAATGTGAACTTTGGAGTAACTTCCAAGGTATATTGTTTCACCGGAGCGTTCTTCAGCATTCTGATTAGCCAACTTGGAGACAATTTGATTCCTTAAATTTCCATTTCCTTCTGGCTACTACTCGTTTGCCACCTGAGTAAGAAGCAAAGGTTTCTTAGCATATTTCTCTGTATGGCTTTAATGTTCAAATCTGTTGCTGTTAGATTCCCTTTATCTTTCCCCTCCTACAGTTTTTGAAGAGCGCATAAGTTTTTATTGATTGCACTTTTCTTGTTTTCCTTTTAGAATCGCCCTGTTGTGTTCAGCTCGGACTGACTGGACAAACAAAGCAAGCGAGGTAGATTATTCTATTAAATTGAAACATTAAAGCGTGGTTTTCTGCTAAACGTATCGAGCAGTGGAGTGGCAGGCGCGCTCCGAAACTTTAGTCGGTCACCGTTTTGGATGAAACGCGAATACTATTAGTTAATACGACCAATCACTTGGTTCATATTGCAGTCAACTCTTATTATGCAGGGTTATAGATTTAATTTCACCATTCATATCCCATTAACCGGATTCGCAACCTAATAGACCATTGAGTAAAAAAGGAGGCTGATCGAGCGTCGGAATCGTCTGTTTATTTTCTTGAGCTTCATTTTTATCACAGAAATGTCTGCTGGCGTTTTCCTTAATCCAGTGGTCGCTTAATCCACAAACTTTGCATGACGGAATTAATTAGCGCACACTGTGTGTACCAGAACATCCCCTCTGGCATTGCTCGGAGCTATTCGAAGTGCATGCTTTGAGCCACGCATGCGAAAATAGCTTACGCTTTTCAACAATAGCGGGACTGGCGGCTGGTAGAATCGCACAGTCCTGTTATTTTCTATACTGTATTCTAATCAAAAGCGCCAGAAAGCATTATATTTATGAACTTTTGTGGGCAACTCTCGAGAAGAAAACTGCTACTACGAAGGAATTAAATACTTCCAGCGAGTCGCGGTCGGATAGCATTGCCGGCAAAGACAGAGGAGACTAGAATGGCCACTTCTGGCTTATCAGCCAGTCCTACCCAACCCCAAATGGTGCCCCATCCGAGGCTCGAACCCGTGACCCGAGAAGTTTGAGCAGACAACTGCAAGGTTCTTCTGCTGAGCCGGTTAATGTACAGTAAGTTGCCAAACTCATGCAAGCCTACT